CCGGCAGGCAGTAAGGATGTCACCGTGCCCTGGGGACACCTCGGCCAAGGAGCGGCAGGGACAGGGACGGGCAGCGTTGTCCCCATCCCTCAGCACTCACTGCATGGCAGCCCAACTGGAGCCAGCGCTGGTGCTGGGTCCGAGCAGGATTGTGTCCTTGAGGCTCCTCGGGTACTGGTAGGTGCGCAGCGGGATTTCCACCTCCAGTTTGTTTTTCAGGAAGCTGGGCGGAGGGGACAGCAGTGCCACAGGGAGTGCAGAGCTGGGGTCCCCCCAGGATGCAACCACCCATGTCCCCAGCAAGCAGGGTGTCCCCAGCGCCGCCACCACCAGCCGACGCATAGGGATGAATCACTGTCCCAGGGTGCTGGACAGCCTGGTCCCAAGGAGCTAAGCCTTGTCCCAGCTGGAGAACAGGGATGGCAGCAGGTGACCCCACCACATACCCATCAGGGGGGATGCCATCCTCGGTGACAACAGTGACAGGGCGCTGGAGGCTGGCCTGGTAAGGCTGGAACGGTGCCGAGGGCCCCAGGTCCTTGGCCATCTGGCTCTCAGCGACAGCAGCAATGCAGCGCCCGATGCTGAAGGACTCATCCGGGTCCTTGGTGAACTCAAAGTCCACCACGACGTGGAAGTACCCATTGCAGGAGGCCAGGCACCGCACCTGGATGGGGTACCTGCCACCTGCGTGGCCAAGAGGTGAGCGCTGGGTCCTGTGTGGGACAGGGCAGGGCACAGGGCATGGACCCTACCTGGGTGCAGCAGCAGTGACTTCCCCCGAGTCACCCCTTGCTCATCAGTGAAGGAGAGCTCCCGCGAGGGCTGGCGTGGCCGGCACCGCCACAGCGTCACAGCCTCTGCCCCCTGGTTCTGCACCACCACGGTGACCATCCGGGGCTCACCAGGCACCACCGGGAAGCGGATGTGCCCATTGCCCTGGTCATGTTCCGAGACGATCTCTACCCCGTGCTTCCCGCGGATGAACTTGGCCCTATGGAAAGGCAGGAAGAGGTTTTCCGAGTGAGGTGGGGGATCCCCGGGGCCACTGCAGGTGTGGGCAGGGTGCTGCTGGTCATACCACTTCTTGGCACGGCTCAGGGGCACTTGAGGACCAGAGCTGGGCTGGTTCCCCGAGGCAGATGTGGACACCAATGGCCCTGCGTTCATTCTGGGTCTCCAGTACTGGTCTGCCACCACCACCCGCTGCTGCTTCTGCAGGGAGCAGCCAGTATCAGCATGGCCCGAGGTGCAGCTCCCGCAGAGCCAGTCCCAGTGGAGCTGCTGCACTGCCCCAGCCCCGGGCATCCCTCACCTTCTGGAAGTGCACCATCTCCCCGCGAACCTGCACCTGGTGGGTCACCTTCAGCGCGTACAGGACACAGGAGAAGTTGGGCATTCTTGTATCGGTCCTGCGCAGACAAGGGAGAGGTTTCTGTGTGGGACAGAGCACGACTGTGCTGTGCTCAGCACAGGCAGCCAAGAGGAGGCAAAATGGGAACGCAAGGTGGAGCAGGGCTGAGGAGCACTCGGTGGCTGCCCTCTGTGCCAGAGGAGGGAGAAGGACCGAGCAGGGACATGTCTCCACTCCCAGATGCTGTCCCCATTCAACAGATGCTGTCTGGAGGTGTCACTCCCTACAAACCGCGGTGCAGATGGGAGCTCCTTCAAGGCATGGCCATTGTGCTTCCCAGCTCCCTCCTCCCACACCCGGGCTGAGCCCCGACTTTGCCAATGATTAACAGTTGTGACACTGCACAAAGGCCAGCGTGACCAGTGTCAGCGGGGGGAGGCAGGCACTGGGGGCCCGAGGTTGTGCCCAGGCGGCTGCTGGGAGGGAGCACGCAGCTGGAAAACACCCAGCAGGGCTGTGGTGCGATGGAGGAGCTCGGGGCGTGTGGGGCTGGTGTGCGGAGAGGCAGCTCTGCC